AGGCAGTTGTTTTCAAAATTGGACAACATTAAGATAAATGGCCTTAACCCCCCAGAATCCCCCAGCAACCAGGGCAGGCGGGGGAATTCTGGGAGTTGAAGTCCACTCATCTTAAAGTGGCCAAGTTTGGACAACACTGGACTATGCTGACTGGGAATAATAGTTAACATATCTGGATGGCCTCAGGTGGGAAAAGTGATAGTGTTTATGAAATATTCAGACACTTTTAAGAGAATATATTTATCATCAAGATCTGAAGAAGTAATTTTTAAAAATTCTTTGGAAGATGAAAATTTATTTTGCCCTATGTACACATTTTCTGTATCCAAACTAATCTTGATAATACTTCTCTGGATGCAGTTTGATTCCTATAACTGTAATTTAGTCAATTCCTATGACTTAATAGAGGGCCAGACAACATATTTTGCTGGGGAGAGGTTTATGATGCTTTTTTATAAACTTTTTTTGGAATGTATTAAGATATTGGTAGGGATGTTGCGTGGTTTTGGACTTCAGAAGTTTTGGAAACTGCCAGCCTCATCCATGGTGACCAGTGATAGGGGGTTGAGAGGAGTATTATCAAAACATTGTGGGAGTGTCAGATTGCCTATCCTAGAGAAATGTCACTTCTAAGTCAACCCCTGGCACATCATGTATTTGATAACATAATTTTGAAATAATATATTACATCATTTAAAGTGGTAGTTCTGCCTATTTCATAGGCATAATAAACAAGTTGATTTTGTTAGAAAGAAAGGAGGAAAAAAGAGATACTTTCTAATATGGATTTACTAAAAAAAAAAAACAACTTTTTTTTTAGCACCTCACAGTATTTATTAAAGTCTGAGACTAGCTGAATAGTGAGCGGCTGGAATAATGTAAAAGAGTTATATTTACTTTAGTGATTTGAAACTTCCTGTGGAAATCGCTCCCAGGTTTCCTGATGGAAGATTTTGTTTATCTTTGCCAAGCACCATCAGGAATCTCAAAATAAAATGCCTTTAGTGACACTGGTCAGCCGGGAGATAAGGCTACACTGTTCCTGTCTCACCCTCAGTAATTGCAAACCCACCCAGGGTCCTGCTGCGTGCCAACAAAACAGCCCAACAAATAGGGGAAGGATCAGACTGAAAGGGTGGAGTGTGTAGAAGATAGAGAATGGACCAGTTTGACATTCAGAGATAGCTAGGAGGACTATGGTAACTTTGATTATTGTGAAGTCCCTAAAAATGAAATCTACTTAAAACAAAGGCTCCAGATTCAGGAAGGCTGGTCTGAGTAGACAACTGGGGGGAAAAGAAAATGCTAATCACAGAAAAATATTAAAACAGGACTAAGTTGTAATCAGTTGAGGTCTTTTCCCACTTATCTGTGTCTCCTCCTTTGTCTTTGATTGGTTCTCTTTCTTTCTCTTTTAAAACCTAAAGGAGGTAATTAATGGAAGCATAAAGGTGTTTTCTATATCAGGCTCATTATCAGACTAGTTGAAAACAGTGATTCAGTGATCCACATTGATCCATGATCAACTCTGAACCATTTCCCTCATCTTATAGGGTAGAGCATATCATCTTGGAGAGATGCCCTGCATTCTGACTAATAGCAGGCAAAAAAGTCCTCCAGATTTTTTCTATTAGTTCTCATTTAGTCTGATGAAAGGAAATTTGCTTTACTAATACCCTGAAAGAACAAGGGAATTTGGAGAACTTCTTACAAATAGCATGTAGTGTCTTTTTCTCTACTTAGTTACAGGGTGGCCAAGGGATTGTGTGAATGTCTTGTCCTTCATACATTATATAATCATTTCTCCAGCAAATGGCAATCTCCCTGGATTTCCCCTTTTCATTAAATCCTAAGGGCCCCTTCTGAGCTTTTCAGTAGCAATACAGCTGCCATCATTAAGTAGGAATCTGACTCTTGAGAATTTGAGGGAGAATGTCTCCTTCTCCTGGAGAAATTCATTCACCCAGCATTTCTCCTCACAAAATGCAATGGAAAATTGGGAATGGCCAATTGTGCCCACTTATGAGGTCTGATTTCATGTATGTTCCAAGGCATTTTCTATCTAACTCATTTACAGTATAGAATAGCAAAGTCTGAAAAGGCAATGGTCTTTTTATCCCTCCCCCACATGTTCCTGTCCCCACCTTACCATTCTCTCTGGCTATGCCAGACTTAAAATGAAAACAAACTTAAAAGTTGTTGAAAAGCTAACAGACCTCTAGCAATCAGTCTAGCCCCAAAGTATCTATTTTGAATACACTGAAAGGAAATCCTTTTTAGCATCCTGGCCTTTTGTTCACAGCCATCAGCATTTTGTATTGGCATTAGTTTAAAGATATTTTTTTGTTGTTGTTCTTCTTGTTCCCTAGTAAATCAGAACATTTAGGTTTTTGTTTTTTTTTCAGTTGATTGGGAGGAGAAAATGCTAGCTAATTACACTAGCTTAAGCTTGAATGATTTCACACAGATGCTTTTCTCATACCACAATGTTTTTTTGTTTTTGTTTTTAGCCCATAGCAAGACCCACCTGAGTCTGAAACAGTTTAAAAAGCTTTGCTTTCTTGGTAGGACCTACCAAGGCCTTTGTTCAGGTTCACGTGACACATAACATGTGTTATGCCTAAGTAAACCAAGCCATGAAGATTGAACCAGATAAAGTGTTAATAGCCATTTAGTGAAATAACAGCTTTTATTTTATAGTTTAAGGTACCATTTGTTAGTCTTTTAGGTAAACAAGTGTAGAATTGCATAATTTTACATGATCATAGCACACAGAAAAATGTGTGCAATAATATTTTAAGATGCCATGAGATGCATCTTGAAATTATAGTAATTCCTCCAATAATTGCATTCAAGAGGGAAGAGAAAAGCAGTACTCAGCCATTGATTATATTTACAAGCCAGCACAATAACTTTTAAATAATATTAAATCTAGTTGTTGCATCCATCATAGCTATTCATTAATGACAAAATGGCAAAAAGCCACAATCTACCTAAATGTCATATGAATTGGAGCATGAAATGTACTTCACCTGTTACAAAATAACTGATGTCTCTTTTGTCACTTCCCACTTTATTGGATGCTATGCAACTGTAGGTTCCAGATGTTCTGGATTCAGCCACAACCAAGATGCTAGCAGTCTGTGAAAGGAATGATAGTTTTATATTTATAAGTTTGAAATAACTGTTTTTCACAGATCCTCCTAAATAATGTCTCTGATATGGTTCAGTTATAACATTCACTCAATAAAATGTAAATTCTTTGTTAAGACATGCCACCTTACAAAAGCCTATGGAGATAATTGGACAATTAAGAGGAAAGCCATTTCCCCAAGAGACTTTCATATTATCATAGTAATTGCATTCTGAATATATGAAATTAGGATGTTTGATTGTTTTATCTCTTGCCTAAGATGCTACAGCAAATGAGGTGTGGTACAGTGAGGTCACTGGATCAGAGAGGAAAATTGGCAAGGAGAATTCCAGGAAAATCTGGCTCTCATTTGGGGAGTGAAGAAGCAGCTAAGATAAGGAAGAGATTCTGGCCTTCCTTTCTTACAAATTAAATATTAGATACAATTGCAAAGCAATTAATAGTAGCTTTGTCTGTGGCAAGTTAAAAAAATAGCAATAATAATTTTGGCATTCAGATTATTTTATAAGCAAAATAGAAGCTATTCTGAGTAGATAGGGCCATTTAATTGTTGAAAATCATATCCAGTGCTTACAATTAGTGAACATTCAGAGATAGAGAAGATTCTGGAGAACAAACACATGTCTGAAAAATGAAGCTATTGAGGGTAAACAGTTCTTGGAAAAAACCATTGTATGATTTTACTAAGTTCAAAGGCTAAAATGCAATACACTTCGAACTAATGGTCTGGATATTCCCATAATGAGGTACCCCACTTTTGTTCTGAAGGTCTGCTTAAAAAGCAAATTTTAACTTTTATGTGATTAATAACGGAAACATCCAACAGTGGAAACTGTCATTGTTTTTACCCAAACATCATATTCAAAAACAGTCCACATTTCTGTCTGATTTTTTAGCCTTCCTCCCCACCATTATTAACAGCAGCCTACCAACATTTTATAGTGTATCCTAAAAAAAATATTTCATTAGACACCAATATTTAGTAAATGGTATTTAGTTGCCATAGATGGAGGTTGGTCTATCTATAGCCACTCCCTTTCCCCTATGTAAAAAACAAAAACAAAACCCTTTTATAAAGAAATATTTTTCTGGCTATAAGGCTGATAATTAAACAGATAGGTTTCATTTGTATAGTATTCTTTGACAGCAAAAAGATAAAGCATTCCCAGGAATGCAAGAAACACACTGGTCTATCATGGCATAGAAACAAAGTTGATTCTTGCCTACACAAGTGTAATGCCAATGCAGGAAGATATTTATGATTAAAAAACAAACACCCAAACTATCACAGACATTTCTTCCTAAGATTAATGTCATTTTATGACTTACATCTTGTTAAAATTCACATAAAGATTGATGTTTTAACATGCGAGGATTAAAATGGCCTGTGCAGATCAGCCTGCAGCTCTAAGGTCTAAGCAGCACAAATGGGAAGGAGACACATTTCATATATTTCCTATCCTACATTAACAACCTCGAGGCGTGGGACTAACACTCACAGAAGTGCTTTTCTGCAACTTGCATGAAAATGTTTAAACTAGTCTTGCCTCTATTTTAAGCTTTGAACAAAGGAACTTTTCTAACCAGTCGTTGTCAGGTCTCAGTAATCACATAGAAAGATTTTCTCTATGACTATCTGTCCCTAACCTGTTCTTTCAGCAGAAAAGCTGTTCTCTCATGGAATTGTACAGCAAACTAAATTTTTTCCTAGCAGCTTACTTATTTCAGCCTCTGACAAGGCACTTTCCCTTGTTCTGTATTAACCTGGCAAGATGGACCTAGTTTAGACTGGATGGGAGTGTGCACAGCTAATGATGATGTTGATGATTTGGACTCATACTGGCTGCAATAAAAAAAACTGTTGGTGGTTAATGATAGCTATAAATTAAATTATACATTACAATAAAACATTCAAGGTACAAAATTAAAGCTTACTAAATATTAAAAAACTAATAAAACATTGAACAGTAATGTAACAACAAAAACTGACGAGATCACTCATTCTCCATAGGCTCTCTGGAACAAGTCAGGTTTTAAATGCATATAGAAACCAAAATACGAGAGCCAGTAATTTCTAGAAGGAGGCTGGAGCATCCACTGAGGGGTACTGCCTGAGAGCCTCACTCCCTCACCTGATGAATTTTGGGAACCAATAGTCATTTTCCCCAGGTTGTTCAGATTGGAAACAGTAAGAACCATGAAAATCTATAAAGGGCTTTATTGCTTACACCTGGAAGCCAAGAAAGTTCCAATTCTTGGCCTGAAACTGTAGAGAAATGCCCTCATGCCAACCAGCAAATAGGCTGCTGCATTCTGGACCACTTGTAGCTTCTGAGGGTCTTCAGAGGCAGCATCATGTAGAGCTCATTTCATGAATTTGAAAAGAATGGACACTGGGATGAATTACTTTCTAAAAAGCAATTAATTTGGTCTGACCATGCCATGTCTTCCATTATTTGTTCTTTTTGCTCTGAACACAGAAGCTGACATCATACTGTCCCAGGAAGGACCAAAACAAAAAGGGTAAGTTCATTGTGCTTCCTTTTCCCAGGCTACTCTGCAATTTATAAAAGAAACAGCTGTAGAACTCTCTGTCTCAGGAGTTGAGATGGTCTCCATCAAATTAATTAATTCTAAAATTGTTGGCTCTAGGCAGTTTACAAATATTCACATGTAACAAAACCAGCTAAAACCTCTAAAGAAACTTTAAAAAAAAACTCTAAAAAGATTGGGTTAAAAAAAATGCTTTACACCCAATCATAAACTGTAATAAGGAGAGTGCTAACCTCATCTCCAATAATTTAGGCCCTGCCACAGGTAAAGAATTAGAATTAGCTGTTAATGTTAAGCATATCTATGACAAGAGCTGAAAAAGTTACCCTATTGAAGATCAGAGGGTGAAGACTAGGGAAGGAACCACAGTCTTCAGGCTAGGTATGGCCATTATATAAACATATAACACCACCAGGCTTCATGGCCACCAAATGCCATGCCAATATCCTTTAATTGAGAAAGGTGAGTAAATGGAGTCTCTAGCTTATAACCCAAGGGTTTTTTGTTGTTGTTTGTTTGTTTGTTTACAGGGCCATTCCAATCAACCAACTCTGAGTGGCAACTTCCAAATCTGTAATTTGGGTTAAAACAAATAACCAACACCTAATAGTCCAAAATTAAAACCCAAAACTTACAGTATAGTCAATTATGTGCATGGGAATAAAACATTCCAAAAATGGTTACTTAACCAAAGGAACAGTCTTAACAGTCCTGCCCTGAGGCTTAGTGAAATAACGATGTCTTCACTGACTTTCTGAAGATCAGAAGGATGGAGCCTTTTATGAGAGAACTTCATTGGCAGTGGGCAATCAACAGTTTTGTTTGGCTTCTTTTTGGTCTACAGTAAAGATTTTACTCACGTTGACTCACTTCTGTGCATCTTTTTCCAGGTTTTGCCCAGAAATCAAGCTAAGCTGTCAAGTGTCATGAGATCTGTGATTTACTGACAAGTCCTTTTTAGGAAGTAACAGTATATGGAAGTAGGCAGTCCTACAAGTACTCTAGGTCAAGACATGTAAGATTTTATACCATAGTGAATACCTTGAAGTTAGTATTGGGTGCAGAAAGAAGTTAGTAACCAAAGGAGCTGTTCAATAGGTGGTGATTTGTCACCTCCTAGAAGCACCATTCACCATCTCAGTGCTGCTGCATTTTCAGCACTTTGCCATTTCCAGACCATCTTCAAGATCTGCCCCACAAACAGCACACTTTAGTAATCCAGCACTGAGGATGATGCTTCACCAGTGCCAGACTTCTGTCCAGCATTGGTGAAGCATGGCAACAAATTTATCCATTTTCTTGTCATCAATGTTATAAGGTTGAACAGCATCAATGCCACAACAAAAAGGATTCCCAAGCTGTGAAACTGGAAGTGCAATCTGTTCAGATCAGATATGTCTCCCAAGTCCTGAAATCCAGTCCCTAGTTATCTAGGAAATCACTACTACTAGGTGCGTAACGTTTTCCTACTTGACTTGCCTGGTTACCTGCATAAACTCATTTAAAATAGAGGGGGAAGAAAAAGTCATATTGATTTATATTCTTCTTAACCACTTTGTGTAGAAGCTCTAGAAGGGCAAAATAACTGTCTGTCTGTCTTCCTTCCAATCTTCCTTCCATTCATCCAGCGAGTCACACATACACACATCATACATATTTCTCTTCTACTTGCCTTCTGTTAATCCCCACTGCACTTCTGCCTAAAATCATGAAGTATTTTTTTTTCACAATAACCTCACCCTGGAAGAGGTTTCATATTGTGTTTAAATCATTTTCCAAATCTTATCTTTTGTTAAATGTCTTCCAAAGACTTTTTTTAGCTACCAAAACTAGACATTGGGTGAAGGCCACTAAAGTAGCATCATATTTCTTAACACTTTATTCAGTAAACAAGGGAATTATTCATTGGCATGGGACAGTGTGGCTTGGAATTTCCTTTTTTTTTTTTTTGAATAAGATTTACAGCTGTAAGGGATTTTTAAATTTAATTTATTCTACTTATTACATAACATTTTGCCTTACTTATTCTTAGAGTCTATCAAAATGAGAATTTAAACATCCCCTAAGCTCCACTGTTCAATGTGAACAATACAGGCAAATCCTTAGTAGTGATTGGAGAGGGCTAATTTTCATATACCTGAGAAAAGATGTTCCATATTTGCATATTGTTATCACAATACACACAGAGATGCCGAGGGCCTGATTCTGAACTGGTGAGATCCAAGTTCAAATCTCTACTCAGTTGGATGCTTACTAAGATGTTCTTGCTGCATGATAGTGTTATCAATCAGATTTACCTCATAAAACCGTTACAATGTAGATTAGATTTTGGCAGTGGCTTTCAGTATTATAGTCTAATAACCAGCAATAACTTTAGCAATAACTCATAAAAAGGATGACCAAAGTTTACTTTCCCCATCCAGAGTGTCATACCTTGTTCTTCCCCTCTATTAAAGCTGTTCTTTGTGTAATGCTTTGGATTCTGTTTCCTGTGGTACTTCCAGATGTCAAGACTAGCGGACTTTCTGGACTGGAACAAACGTCATACCTATGACAGGATAAATAAGAATGAAGCAACAGTTTCATAAAATAGAGCACCAAAAATGGTAAGGCATTTCCATCAAGAGGCATCAGACTTCGTCATGGCATTTAGCCAGACGATATACTGCTTAAAACACTGTTTCAGATTTAAATCAGGCTTCCATTACTAAGCTTCAGATTGTAAGCCTATACCCACGGTCTTGAACACAGTAAAAGTTATTTCAAAGTGAACTCAGGGTTTTTCATGAATTATAGGTAGCGAATTAAATCAAAACATTCAGAATATCATCTTATAAAAATATGCTGAGATAAAGGACAAAATGTCCTTTAGAAAACATGCAGCCATATCTAAAAATATAAAAGTAAAAATTATAGCTCTTGTAATCAAGTAATTCCTAAGTCCTGAAGCTGATTTGAACACAACTGAAATTTAACGCAAATGTTTCAAGCCCTCACAAGTGATCTTTATCCACATTCTCCATTACAGGATTGTAAATAAAAAATATTTTTGCTAAGAATATGATATGCCTTAAACACTTAAAAACTGTTCACTTAGTACAAATACTATTCTGCAGACTTCTTTCCAATGTATTTATTTTTAAAATTATTTTAAACTTCAAAATCTAGTTGATGATCGATCTTCACGTTTTAGGAAGGTTTTGAATTTTCAGATGGAATTTATCAATGTGAAAGTTAAGGGCAAGAACTGAGTTTCATTTATAAAAACTAAATTTTGAAACACAGGTGCTATGATATTCCAAACTGATATTCCAAATCATACTTTTAATTTAGATGCCACTTTGTGGAATGGCTCAGAGTGGTTTACAGCACTCTTCTTCCCCACCCAAAATGTTTATAGTTCTATACTGAAATGACTCACAATCTAATTTATGCACAACTTTATTTAAGCTCTGTGATAAAAGTGTGCAAGCACTTAACCCAGCAATGACATTTATATTGGAATAACTTGGCAAATGATGAAAGATTTAATAAGCAGATCTTTCATTGTCAAACTTCCTAAAGAACAGTAGCTAATAATAAGACAACTCCATGCTGCATTGCAGATATTTTTGTTAATATAGAAAATATGTTTAATCACCCGCATATAATTTGTTCTTTGGCACTGTAATGAGTTGATGGCACATAATCAATCAGTTGAAAGCCAGTTAATAGCTTGAGAATGTACAGTTTACAAATATAGGAAAAATCTCCCAAATTATAAAAATATGTAAATTTAAATGAAAACATTCTTAACATTGCAGGTATCACAAAGAGAGCAAATGTTGCATCACTAGAAATTATTGAAGTCCCTTTGTTACACAATAAACTAACTCCTAATCAAAATGTTCAGATATAGCCTTGATGGAAATAATTTTCCAAACCTAATTTGACATATATGGAAAAAAAATTGGAGAAATGTTCATTATATCATATATATTGCTTCATATTCTTTTTGAAGGATATTCTTGTTTTTATTCCACATTTAAAGATTCAATCCCTCATGAAGTATGGTTTGAGCTCTTGTAAAAACTTTTATTTTTCATGATTAGGTTGTTAATATTTATCAAAGTCTCTTTAATGCAAAAAAAAAAAGTTCTTGTTATTTTCCCTTGTAAATAATTATCTTCAGCAAAATGGAATTTAAAATTAAGCATTTCTGTTATTATCATTGGCAGTGATCCCTGATCAAAAAGCATCAAAACTTCCCTATGACCATAATTTTCTCAATTGTTTATGTCAGTGTTTTTCATTCTGGCTGGGGAATTCTGGGAGGTGAAGTCCACACATCTTTAAGTTGCCAAGTTTGAAAAACGCTGTTGAAAAAAGCATCAACTTCTCATTGTTATGCATTATTGGAAATATAAATATTATAGATAACATGAAAGCAGTTTTCTTTGCTCTCCTCCTTCTTGTACCAATCAGGTTTACTCCAGAGGCTCTCTGAACCTTGGGAGATATAAGGGGGAGTTACTGCTAAGAAAAATGTGTGTATTGATTGCAATAATGCAAACAACTAGATTGTGTGTTATTTTTTCTACTTATACCCCACAATAACATTTGACTGCATGCAATTTCACGAAAGCCTTTCATAGAAGCTTTACTGCTCTCAACTGCTATTTCAAGGTTCAGTAAAAAAATCAGTAAATGGATGGATGAATGAATGAATGAGTGACAGAGAGGTGGACAGACAGATAACAGTTTGATGAACAATCTTACTTTTCGCAATAAATAAAGTATCCTCCCAAATCATTGCCAAAGTGGGAATGACTATAACTGTATAGTTCAAAGATGATAGTAAATATAGTAAAATGTTAAATTTCAAATGATCCCATCCATATTCATAATGGCATGGCAAATCAGTTGCAATTTGGCATATAGTTTACTGTGGACAAGCAGTGTTCTTTAACATGAGGTTGGATCTCCTAACTTTGAATGGCCTGACTCAGTTAAAAGGCATCTTCATAAATACAAATGAGCCAATGCTCCATACAGACCTTCCTTAACATGTTATGTTGATAGCAAAGAAAACCTGATGTCATTGTGAAAAGTGCCTAGGAATATCATATATGAACATATGCGTTCATTGAATAGGATCCATTTAGCTTTCATATACTGCACTACGCATTCTATCCATTAAAACCAACAGGATATGCTAATATATTGGCATAAAATAATCATTTGTGGGTGGTGTTTAGCATCTTGACCTACAGATACTTCAACACTAGGTCCAGATATTGAGCATTGTCCACTGTTATTCTTTAAAATTGAATTTACGCTTTCCTTATCTATAATGTGGTGGGACCATGAATCAGGTTAAAGAAAGCTAGCCTGCGATCTCAAAATATAAAGCAAACAGTATTCTAAAGGTTATTTGAAATTGCCCAGGAATCTGGATACAGCTGGAACTGTTGTTACTGTTGTTTCCCTTTCATTTGTTTGAGCCCCAGCCCTCCAAACTATTTCTGAATGCTCCCTTCAGTTTCAAAAGTCTGCCCTCTGACGTGGAGAACCAGCATTTTTAGAAAGCCCAAAGTCTTGCCACGAATGAGGTGATCCTCATGAAAGGAAATATATTGGCATACATGAAACAAAGCAAAGGCAACCAGACACAGCCACCAACCAGTAACTCCTCCCCCCATTCATTCTTAAATGTCAGGTGTGGCTGCCTTATCTAAAGGAGCAAAACGTTTCTTCCAGAGTAGCTTAACTTTTGAAATTTCCTTAACTACAACACTGGAGGCTGTTTATCTCTCTAGTAGCCAACAGAATAAAGCCATGCAAAGGGGCCTTGTTGGCCTACAATGTTACACATGGAATTGTGCCATATCTGTATTGTTCACAATTTATGACTTCTTCATATATTGTTCACCATTTCTAACTTCTCTTTTTTCCTCTTACTGGTTCTGTGTTAACCAAATATTTTTTAAAGTTTAATTAGAGACATGTTCTGACTAGAAATTGGGTATGAAAAGTTGCATAATACTAATGAGGAATCTGACATTTAATGGCTATCCACCCTTATTTCTTTGTTTAAATTGGCTTTTTCTGACTCCCACTTATTTATTGCCTTGTCTAAGACAATAATCACTCTTATTATCCCCGTTATCTATTTTTCTATGTTCTTTTAAACTTGTATTTGCATTACTATTTATCTTCTTTTTTTCTAACACCTAGTTTGCAAGAATAAATAAATAAGTAAATAAATAAATAAGCAAAAGAAAACCAACTAGACTACTAATACCAAAAAAGATTGGCTAGAAAAAGGGCCAAACTTTTCTTATGATGCAAGGTTTTTAGAAGAATTTGCCAACATTTACACATTTCTTTATAAATGGGAAAATACTTGAGTATTGTACAAGATCAAATTGAGGAGAAAACAAAACAGAGAGATTTGTCCATCCATGCAGGGGGCTTGAGCACTTACTATTAAGACAGAACTTACCTCTCTGTCTATCAAGCTGTCTGTGATGCTCAGTTGGTTTGCCAGTCTGAACAGTTCCTCATCCCTAATACCATATGGCCGTGTTTCTCAACCTTGTCAACTTTAAGATGTGTGGACTTCAACTCCCAGAATTCTCCAGCCAGCATATGGCAAATAAGTTTATGGGATAGCCAAGATAATTATTATATAACCTGAGAGGAATAACTTGATTGCTAACATATTTCTTTGCCATTGTTTGAATTGGTTCTTTTTCAAAAAGAGGCAAGGAAGAAGATTTGCAACCAGTCTGATTGGTTATTTATTTATTGTCCTAAGACAATAATTCCAGGCTTTTCTTTCTCTGTTTTTAAAAATATTACTTAAGGTGTCATTCTCCAGTCAGTTTAAAGCAGCTGATTTTCTAAAACTTGTGCAACACTGAATGTTATATAATCCTTATACTAATACTAATAATGCCAAACAACAACTACAACCTCAACAAGTTACCAAAGCTTTTTAGTACTAGAATGGAATGGTGCCATCAATGCACAGTTAGTGAGAGTTCCTTGACAAACTGCCATGGCACAGAGTACTACGTGTGTAGATTCCTCCCATTCTCCAATCTTCTTAGCTGCCCTCTTCACACTAAAGGATGAGATCTTCTCCACAAACTGGACCTACTGAATTTAGATACTGAAGAAGGGTTGAACTTTGTTTTGGATACGTTCCTTATTCTTTCATAAACAGAAGAAAAGAATTTGATGTTAAGAACACACGAGAAAGCAAAATAGATAGATTAGCTGGGGAATTCTGGGAGTTGGTCCACACATCTTAAAATTGCTGAAGCTGAGAAACACTGGTCTAACCCCAACTAGATGACTACCTATTAAAACTCATGCAGTAGCAGCAGATTCCTTCAACATTTATGAATTTATTATATATTTTGGGTTTTACTGTTCTTTATAACAAGTATGATAGGTGAATTATTGTATGTCTTCTGTTGGGAATACAATGATGGCACTTCATTGCAAACCTAAAACCATGAACAAAGTCACTTTTGACATGCCAGCATATATGCTGGATAC